GTAGCATGGAGCTGGAGGGGTGTGTGCCTGCAACAGACGATGTAGACACCTTCATAGCCCACCCAGTCCTAGGCTGGCTGCAAACAAGGATGGTCCCCAGGCTGTTCTAACAAGGGTCTGTAATGGAGGCTGGAAGCATGCCCCCCTTGGGCTATGCCCCCTATATGAGCACCTGGCAGGGGCGTGTCACTGGATCTGCAACACTAGCTCTATGATGCCGGAGGAGTCTCTAATTGTGTGGCAATCCTCACCCAACTGGCTGCACCAGCAGCGCAGGGCACCACAGAATCTGACCCGCAGGTTCTACTCTCACACTAGTTCCATACCGGGACAACTGCACTGACTCAATGGAGTTCTACAGAATCTACTCCAATGTCAATGAGATCAGAGTCAGGCTCAGGATAATTAGCACATTAGAGGGTTTGCCAAATCACTGCACTTACTGCAGGAAAACAGCACAGCCAATGCCAAGAGAAGCCTCATCTTCCTCTAGTCAGGACCTGGAAGAAAAAACAAATCCACCCTGATCGTCTATTCAAGGGGTTTTCTAGCAGGCTTTAGAAAACAGACTACTCCGTACGGCCCAATGGAATGCTTTGTGAGGCATATGGCCCAATTCTGGAACGCTTTGTCAGGCAAACTCCCACTGAGCCGAATGGGCCTTTTACTGGAGTAAGGGACTTGCAGTTAACAAGAGAAAGAGAAGCAGGTGTAAGCAGGGTCTGAATGAACTCTCCCCTGACAGCTAGCTGGGAGCGGGAGAGACATCAGGAGCAAACTGTATTTACAAGAACACACCTACTCTGCTTAGATATCCAGCAGGAGAGCAGTGTTGCTCAAAGTGATCAACTTTGGCTGGTGTTGGGTTACAAATCACTTGAGTACTGAATGCAGGGGTAGTGAAATGCTGTTATCAGTGTTGTTGTCTTTATTGTATGAATAAAGGGGAGCAGAACTGTGCTGAACCTGTCCCAAATGAGGGGGTCACCTTTGGCTGAAAGGACCTCGTTAAGCCAGGGGCTCCAATGCCAGACCCCTGTGAAAGTAAAAGGGGAGGGGACAGATGTCCCAGCCAGGAGCTGTGGATGCTCCCTAAGGGTCCCCAGTCTGGCTTAACCTGTTTCTCCCCACTGTTGTTCAAAGATAGTGCTAAATAGGCTCCGTTAGGAGCCTTTGCTATTTTAAAGTACTTACATGAGAGCTGACATCACCTGTGGTGGGACAGCATTTCTGCCCAGCCAGCTAAAAGCTGAAAATCACTAAGAGCTGACAATCAGTAAGAGACTGACCAGCAGAAAGGTAGGTGGCAGCAGAAGGTAACTGACAGTCGGCCAGCGGGAGCAGCGAGCAGTAGACCGGCGGGAGCGGAATGAGCGGCTGGCGGGGCGGCCAGTGGAGAGGAACCATGGCTGGTGGGGCGGCCAACCAGAGCAAGTGCTCAGATGGCGGAGCAAACAAGGTGCGTTCTTCCCCAGGTGGGAGATGAACTCACACAGCTGCACCTCTGAACCCTGGGTCCTCACTGACCAAGGACAACCTCTGTGACTGGGGTGTGGTGATGGAGCAGAGAGAGGCACAGAAAAGGAACTTTTGGTTGTAGAACTCAAGAACATGAGGCAGAAGACTCTACCCCATGCACTCTGGGGTGGGCGTCCTGCTCACAGTTTTAGGATTATGAATCCTGCTTGTGGCATTTTCCCTAATTAATGTCAGGTGACTTCCCTCCTTTCATTAAAAGTTTCTTTTCTACACTCAGACTCTGTGCTTGCGAGTGGGGAAGGATTGCTGCTCAGTGGCACCCGGAGGTGGTGTGTAATTTTCCCAGGTTACTGGGTGGGGGCTCAAGCCAGTTCTGTGTTGTATTCTTGAAGAGGAACCCCTAGATATTGAACCCGGCCCTGGCAGAAGGGTTACACAGGTTTTATCAATGGTTCCACTGCTGGGTGCGAGACCCCTTGTTAACAGGGGTGGAGGCCCTTTGAAAACATAGATAAGTATAAAATACCCAAGGACTAAGCAACTGTAATTAGCCAGTTACCCATACTGAGTTTCTCATAAATTTGCAGTGAAATCAGTACTCACTGGGAGTAAAATATAATGATCATATGATAGAGGTCACATGCCCTTTATAGAGTTCAAATGAATGAATCTAATACAGGGGGCCATATCCTTAGCTGGTGTAGATCAGTGCAACGCCACTGACGTCAATGGAGCAATGCTGATCGACACCATCTGAGGATCTGGCTCAGGGAGTTAAAATATAACAAAAAGATCAAATCGCACTAAATCTAGGATGAAGCTTGCTAGTGACACAACTACACATAATGGGCCAAGGCCCAGATTCTCGCCCCATTGAAATCAGTGGCAAAACTTTTCTTGAGTTCAACAGGATCAAGACATGCCGGAGGTGCTGGAATGGGGGGTGCTGGGGGTGCAGCCGCACCCCGTGGCTTGAAGTGGTTTCCATCATATGCAGGGGTTACAGTTTGGTTCAATGGCTCTCAGCCCCCCCCCACTACAAATTGTTCCAGCGCCCCTGCATGGCACCATATAACTAAGCTATTTACAAACTTTGTAACTCACACATTTAACCTAGAATATGGCAAATGGCCACTTGACTGAAAAGAAACGTACGTATAAAAGTCCTTGTTACTTGTCAAATGGAGGCACTGTAGGTGAACTCTCCAGGTCATTGGTGGCCTGTTTTAATGTGAGGTAGTATTCACAGATTTTAACACAAGAAGGGACCGCTATGATAATCTAGTCTGACCTCCTTCACGCTGCAGGCCAGTGGACCTCAGCCAGTAGTATTGTAAGGCTTGTTCTACTAACACTGCGGTCTTAAAAATACTATTAACTCTGCCTTTTATCTATGATAAGTCTTAGTTTGTTACCTGTACAGAGAGTCCTCAGCAGCCAGCCTACGGATCCAGTGTACTTCTCCAAGAGTTGTTAGCTATGGGGAAGCAGACTGATGATTAGGCTTATTTATTCCATTCTGATGGGGGTTCCATGTTTGGACATACTCTCTGGACTGTAATTTGATTGGTCAACATCGGTATTTTGAAAATGGGACCAATCAGAGTACAGGTTGTGCTGCCTTTGCACATTCCAACCAGAGAAAACAGGGCCTTGCATTGGCAATGTCACAGTTGTAATTGCACATGGTTACTGTGGTTTTAGTACCAGAGCTGACAGATGTCTCAAGACTCTTACACTTAAAGTCTAAGTTCTGCTTTCAAAATATCAAGGGTTTAGGCAACTGATGTACAGCTGCCCCGAACTCCCCTTGTTTTGCCATACATGGCTCTGTGGTCTTGTAACCTCTTTGATTAACTTTGCACAACCCCAAGTTCCTTCTCAGGTTGAAGTTTCCCGGCCAACAGCTTTATTGCCGTTCAGTAACATCCATTTGACGTTCTCTCGTCTTAACAAAGCATCTCTCCACATCCTCTGACGTGTTTCATGAGGGTCTTTTAGTTCCAGAACATCTCTATATGATGCTGTGTTAAATAGCTCACCTTAGCTCTTCCCAGCAGTATCATTTCACTGCTCTGGTTAAATCACATCTCTCAGAAGGGAATCTCTTCTTTCACAAATTCTCCGGTGAAGCACAGAGCAAACAGAAGCTGCTTTTCTAGCCGGAGTTCATCAAAGCCATACTTCACAGGTGTTGTCAACACAACTCCCTGATTGAAATCAAGAGTATTTTCAAATAATCCTGCTGGTTTCATAATAAGTGGAGCGGGGGCAGAAAGAGGTGGGGCAGGAGTGGGGCCTTGGGGGAAGGGGTAGAGTGGGGGTGAGGGCTGGAGCTGAGTGGGGGGCTTGGGGGTCCCTGAAAATTTTTAAATCAAAACGGGGGTCCTCAGGTTGCTAAAGTTTGAGAACTGCTGAGCTAGATAAAATATTGCAAGAATAAGGACAGTGAAGATGATCAGTAATTCTCACCTGCACTGGGCTTGGGAACGTCTCCACAGCTGGAGTAGCTTCTGGCTTGCGTTGGTCACCCACTTACCTTTTATATCCTGATCTCCTGCTCCCCAGGAAGCCTGTTACCACACACAGCTGAATTTCATAATACTCTGGATGGCTGGACAGTTATGCACTAGGGAGAGAATTCCCCTCTTTTCCAATGATCTGGCAGAAAACCCAGTCTCTCCTCAAGGGAGTTGTTATGCTACTCTTCCAGCTCACATGCTTTTTAATACTAAGCAACCTCTCCACCCCCCTCCAACCTCGCCTAACCCAAATACTCTAAATCTTTCAAGATCTGGCTAATACAAAACTACATGGTGGGGCACATATGCCTCTCTGGAAAAGTTTCTGAATTGTATTGAAACTAGGCATGAAACCACATGGCATCAGAGCAGCTGAGATTGGAAGTTTCAACTAGGATGACACTGTCCAGCCTTGCAAAAGGGGAACATACATGTAAATAAGAAAGCAACCAACGAAGTGACCTGATTTTACTGTTTTTACTGCAGTGGGATAAATTCTCCTACCATTTACACGTGTGTAAATGCAAAGTACTTCATCTCATTTACTCCAGATTTGCCCTGGTGTAACAGAGGACAATCTGGCACAGTGTATCTCCACGGACTTCCAGGAAGTTACTCCTAATTAATAACATAATTAAACCAGAGCAGAATCAGACTCATTAAGTCCCTAATTCATGACATGGTTTAAGGTGGATCATGTTGGCTATTCACAAGCAGTTCTTGAGATTTCTATCCTGTCAAAAGCAGTAACAAAATCATGAAATCATTCCATTCACCAATCCCAGTTCAGACACACGTTTTTTTATTTCAATTTTTTAAAAAAATACAGCAAAAAATGTTGCTACATATAAATGGGATCAAAGTTATAAAATGATCCAAGCAAAAACATTATGAAAATACATTAAACAGTCCATGCAAAATTGTATATCTATAAATGTGTGTATGTAATAAACAGACATTATAATGAAACAATCACATTTCATTGCTTTTACCTTGTGCAAATATAGAGTACGTTGATATGGCAGGTAAAGCATCTGTGCAACTTTTTAACACGTGGGCGCCTTATCCCCACAGCGTCTCTTTCGATAGAAGCGATAACCCGTCTTGTAGCTGCTTAAGTGTTTCTTCAAGCAAAGCACAAGGTCACTGTCACACTGGCAGCTCTCCCTTTTGCACCAGCTCCCCAAGCCTGCTGACAAACAGTAACAGGATGAGTGTTTGAGAGGAGGGCCTTGGGGAGAAGAAGAGAGGCTGGCAACGCTGGCTGCTGAGACGGTGATGGGGCCACATAAGAGTATGTCTACACTGTAATCCCAGGATGTGACATACCCAAGATAGCTTTAATCTAGCTAGTTAGGATCCTAAAGTGAAACCATGGTAGTGTCACTTCAGCATGGGCCAACCCAAGAACCCTAATTACTTGCAGGGCAGCTTGCACTGAAGCGCACATTGCTGTGACTTCACTGTTATCACTACTGGAGCTAGCTAGATAACTGTTAGCTCAGGTACGTCTACATGAGCTACAATCTCACCCTGTGCTTGCAGTGTAGTCATACCCCAAGAGAGCACATGCTGACACCTAGGAGCTGGTCTACAATGTGAAAGTCCATCATGTTATAACTTGTGGCAGGACCGTAACGGATGCAGCGTTAAACATGGCATAGTACTCACCGTAGACAGGGACTGTCAGGTTTAACATCATGTCAATTACCTTGATTCCACAGGGGTGCGCTCTAACGCAATGGAATTTCTCAGTTAGATAAGTCCCTAGGGAGTAGCCCTCAGCCCAGCATCCAGCTTCCTAGTTTAGGGCAGTGGTCTCCAAAGTGGGGTGCACGCAACCCAGGGGGTGCGCAAGAGGATCCTTGGGGGTGCGCGACAGGAGGAGCGCCACTGGAGCAGCGCTGCTTCGGCAGTTCGGATGGCTTTTTTTGCTTCGTCAGTTCGGGCGGGAGTCCGAGCAGCCTTTTTTTTTTTTGCACTTGGGGCGGCAAAAATGGTAGAGCCAGCCCTGCGGCATGGCGGGGGGTGCGTGCTCAAAATTTTTTCACTGATAGGGGTGCGCGATCAAAAAAGTTTGGAGACCACCGGTTTAGTGGATTGAGACGCATGCACAGGGATGTGACTGATAAAGCAGCAAACTATCATGACACGCAGACGTAGCCCCACTTCCAGAACATGGGTAAGACAGCTGTGTTCAAACCTTCAGCCAGCCAGCAGGTTTCCTCCACATTGTAAAAACCAAGTTCCGTCTCTAAATTGCCTGCCCTCTGGTTGTTACCGTAATAGAAACACACAATAATAAAATGGGTAACCGGACTCTCCTTTGATCCCATATTCTATTCTGGGGGTTAAGAAAGTGCCTAGCCCCATAGCCTTCTTGCCCTTTCCACATAAAGGAAGCCCATTAGAATGTCAGTGTTCTTCCCTCTTAAACTCAACCGTTGACTGCTCACGATCTATCCGTATTGATTGCTTGTTGTTCCTAAGTGGCTCACTTGGAGGATTGAGCTTTAAGCACATTAGGGTATTCCTGCATGGCAAAGAAAACCCATGGCAGCGAGTCTTGGAGCCTGGATCTACAGCCTCGGGCTGGTGAGGCTTGTGCTGTGGCACTAAAAGTAGCTGTGTAGATGTTCAGGCTCGGGCTGGAGCTTGGCCCTGAAGCCCGGAATCGGGGTGGGTTTCAGAACCCAAGCCCAGACAGCTATTTCTAGCATTGTAGCGCAGGCCCAAGTCTGTAGCCTCGGGCTCTGAGACTCGCAGTGTAGACATACCCAAAGGGAGTAGCATCTGTTCTAGTCATTAATCCCTTGTGCAAGTTCCCATCTCTGAGAGTGATTCAGTAAAGTTACTGAGTCAGATTCAGGTGAGTGTGTAAGTTACATGTTAGTAAGTGGGCATGAATCTAAACGAGTGTCAGGGGATCCCAGATGGCATAACACACATTGAAAGGCCTTGAAGATCTAAATTACACTAGTTTATGCTTCTTATAAATGAAACGGAGCACCATTCACCGCTGCATCACTCCAATTTTAATCCAGTTCCAATTAGACTCCCCTCTGAATTCGTCCCACTGATTTCTCCTCTCTCCACCCTTCTCGCAGTGGGAAGCAAATGAAATTTCTATTGGTTTCCCCCCTCTTCTGCCTCTTTCCTGTTGTTGGGATTCTGAGCTTGGGGGCTGGTTGGGCTTTCACTCCCAACCCTGCCCACTGGTTTTGAGAACTCCTAGCTGAGAGCAGAGGCTCTGAGCAAGAAGACATCTCCTTGTAATCAGTGCAGCCTATGGTCAGGGGGGGAAAAAATCACTATTCAGGACAGCACATAAGCACGTGTTTAAGTGTTTGCTTGATTTGGGGCCTGCATCCCGAGGTTCAGCCAGCCAGTGACTCTGGTTCTCTTGTCCTGTTCCTTACGTATAAGAACAAAAGCTCTAGTAGACTGGGCTCGGGATACAGATTTTAAAAGCCAAGTAGCAAAGCCATTTGCTGATTTAGGGGAAGAAACAAAACCGAATCACCATCTTTCTGTCCAGGAGCCAACTCACCGCAGTATATCCTTCCACTCAGGTAGAAGTAGCTGTAGGTTTTAAATTTGGCATTACATCCATGATGCCTGAGCCTCTTATAGCAGCAGTCATGCAAATAACAGCACCTTGGGGAGAAGGAAGGACTCAGCAAAGAGACACGTACACGTAGGTTTAAAACATGAGCAAAAAAAAAAATCCCCTTTGACACTTTTCCAGGGCACGTAAAAGAGAGAGACATGTTTTGACACGATGGGCCAGATTCTCTTCTTACACTGGTGTAAATCAGGAGTAATACCGCTGACATTAACAGGTTTAGGCTCTCAGTTTGTTTCCCATCTATATACATGACAGGTTGGGTGGAGGGGGCGGGGGAGGAGGGGTAACTAAACTGAGCACCCGGGAGAAAGCACAGATATCAAGTTTGCTTTCTTTATTGTTCTTCAGACAGGCCACTGAGTAGATTTCAAGCTTCTTCTCTAATCTCCAGCACAGGATGCTCTTGTGTTAGGAAGGCCTGGTAGGAACAGCCAGTTGTCAGCTCAAGGGACTCTGACCTCAGCATGTAAAATAACTTTCACAGAGACGGGGGAGAGGGGGAAGGAGAAGAGGGGGCTGTCGTAGCCTGATTTTTCCTAACGCTCATGGCCTTTTCTTAATTCTTCATTCCACGGTGGGGGATGAAAACGGTGCCCCATGTTCCGTTCTCCCTCAATCCACCCAGGGTGGGAGCCCCATTGCTTGAGATATTTAAAACTACCTGGGATGGTGTGCAAATAGCTTTAAAATAGGGACCAGCTATGCATGGGTCCTTAGAGCGTGCCTATGTGATCTAACAGGTCTTTTCCAGAGGTACATTTCTTAGGGGCTTTGTTGTGCCATTCATCCTTAAACAGAAATATCTGAAACCAATGAGAAGCTCCTCTTAAAACTCCCAGTGGAGTGGTATGGTTCTGATTCCTTAATTCTTCGATCCCAGAAGAGAAAAAATGCTCTTGCATTTAATCCCAAAGGAAGGTGGTAGCCTTCCTCCTAACTCCAACACACGGGGACACCCCATTCTAGGAAATATGGGCAGGTAGATTCAGCTATCTGCCTTGGATGAGCTGGTGGAAGAACCTCTCTTTATGAATCCTGCCTCCTTAATAACTCAAATCCACCTCTCTTTTGCAAATGCATTGGGTGTAGACTGACATACTTCCAGTGACTTCGAGAGAGCCATGCCCGTTTACACAAGCTGAGTACCTGGCCTATTGGCCTTACTTGATGGAGAGCATCTTGGGTAAATACAGACTTGGGGTAAAATTTTCAGATGTGCTTAAGTGACTCAGGAGCCTACGTTCTATTTTCAAAAGTGAGTTCGGCCCGGGGGGCCAGATTTTCTAAAGTATTTAGGTGCCTAAAGAAGCTGAGCCATTACACACATTGAATCGATTTCCCCATGTTAAGTATCCTCACACCTTCTTGTCAAACTATCTGAAATGGGCCATCTTGATTATCACTACAGAAGTTTTTTTTCCCTCCTGCTGATAATTGCTCATCTTAATTAATTAGCCTCTTAGAGCTGGTAGGGCAACTTCCACCTTTTCATGTTCTCTGTATGTATATATATTTCTCCTTACTATATGTTCCATTCTATGCATCCAATGAAGTGGGCTGTAGCCCACAAAAGCTTATGCTCAAATAAATTTGTTAGTCTCTAAGGTGCCATGAGTACTCCTGTTCTTTTTAAAGAAGCAGATAGGCACTTCTGAAAATCCCACTTGACACTCATGTGCTTAAATCCTATTGATTTCAATGGGAGTTAGGCACCGAGGCGCTTTTGAAAATCCCACTAGGTGCGCATCTGCAGGAACCTAAATGCCTTTGAAAATCTGGCCTTTAGGCCCTTTTGCAAGTGTTATCCCAACTGAAGTTCCTGGCAGGCTTTTTAAGACCGCAACTTACTGATCAGTGTCATCCTTTGGCGTCCCTTTGCCACCCAATCCGCAGTGGCAGCCGTAGTTGGAATAATTCCATAAGGCACATTTCCCAGTGACTTGCTTAATCATCTTTTGAAGCTCCCAGAGACTCCCCTGTGTCATAACTGCGCCTGGAAAACAGCCAAAGGGTATCCAGCACTGGGAGAGGAGGGCTTCCCAAAAAGAAATGACACTTATTCCTGTGCCTTTATTAAGCTGCTTTGTGAGCTCATCAGGTAGGGTGACCGGATGTCCCGATTTTATAGGACAGTCCCAATGTTCGGGGCTTTGTCTTATATAGGTGCCTATTGCCCCCCACCCCATCCCAATTTTTCCGGTCACCCCATCATCAGGCCTGATTTTCCTCACATCTAAAACTGTTTTTAGATTCATATTACACACCCTTCTCTTCCTTATACCAGAGTCAATGTGGAGGAGCTCCATTGTCTTCAATAGAATTCCACAACCGCTGTAAGCAAGAGAGGAATCAAACCCTGTGTCTCTTTTCATCTCATTACACACGTGAGGGGTACAGTTATGTGGGCAGAAAGACTGATGGGGAGAGATTTTATGTGACTGGATGTATCTCTCTAATATCTGTCATTAACACGTATATCAGCTCCCTCCATCACTCTCAGGTGCAGCCCTTACTAATTACCTTCCCCTCTCCTGTCCTTTACCAGATCTAGCTGCTGGTCTGTATTGCACAAACCGTTTCAGTGTTGTGTGAAAGTTTATATTGGCAGCGCTGCCGCAACCCACGTGCTTGGGTCTAGGTTGAAGACTAATAAGATGGTCAGTGGGCTCCTGACACTATAACTCAAATTGCATTCTCTACTTTACAGCTATTCGTGATCATCCCAGAGATTAGCACTGCACAAGAATAGTCCTGTAAAGGCAGGCAAATCCCTGTGCCCTGGGAGGAGTATGTTGGTATAGAATCATAGAATATCAGGGTTGGAAGGGACCTCAGGAGGTCATCTAATCCAACCCCCTGCTCAAAGCAGGATCAACACCAACTAAATCATCCTAGCCAGGGCTTTGTCAAGCCTGACCTTAAAAACCTCTAAGGAAGGAGATTCCACCACTTCCCTAGGTAACCCATTCCAGTGCTTCACCACCCTCCTAGTGAAGAAGTTTTTCCTAATACAACCTAACCTAAACCTCCCCCTCTGCAACTTGAGACCATTACTCCTTGTTCTGTCATCTGGTACCACTGAGAACAGTCCAGATCCATCCTCTTTGGAACCCCCCTTTTCAGGTAGTTGAAAGCAGCTATCAAATCCCCCCTCATTCTTCTCTTCTGCAGACTAAACAATCCCAGTTCCCTCAGCCTCTCCTCATAAATCCATGAGCTCCATGGTAACCACTCTGTAATAAGAATGGGACATATGCAGAAGAGACTTGCAGGAACAATTCAGATCCTCAGGCCCGTACTGGAAATCCTAGCTGCAAAAGGTCTTATATATCATGCCATTGAGACATTAGAAGGCAAAAAGTGTATTAGCTGGCAGGGGGCACATCTAGAAACACCAATGGAAGGGACAGATCTTGTGTTGGGGAAGATACAGATGGTAGCGCTGCTACTCACATGGCAGTACCATTAATAAGGTGGTGTGGTGCATGGAAAGGTGCAGTGAACTTTCTCAGGCCTCTCTCCATTTCAGAGGAGCCCACCCACCCTATGTTCAGATGATCTCTGCGTGGTTAAGCAGCTACTGGCATGGCCATAGTACAGCTGCTTTTAAGAAGTGGGGGTGGGGGAATCAAACTTCCTCCCCTTTTATTTTAAAACAATTGGACTTTTGGCATTTTTCCAAATTTCAGAATGGTTCAGGCTTTTAAAACATTCCAACCAGCTCTATAGGTGGTTTAAAAACAACTCCCTCCCCCCCACACACACACTAGGGTGATAATAATGCAGAAGTTTCATTACTATTTTCCCTAATTTTGCTTCAAATTTCAAAATTTGAAATGTATCGATCAACTTTCATCCTCCTGACGTGCAGGTTTTTGCTGACACAGAGCTAATTCTGCTCATGGCAGCACCAACTTGTGATCTATTTTCTGTAGTAACTTATAGTAGGGAGCCCTAGAACTTTTGCACTGACTTCTCCCACAATTGGTTGAGGCCACACCCCCATTTACGGACTTTGTAGATCTCCTGTGGATCTTCTCCATGGACCCAGTTGTGTGTTCTCTTGCTTGACATGGGAGCCAGACCCACGGATTTTAGCTTGTGGGTCAAATTCTCCCTGCATTTACACTGGTGCCACCCCATTGATTTTAATGGCATTGTACTGATGCAACGGGAAAGAGAAGTAGATCCAGATGTGCAGAATTTGGAGGCAGGTTTTGTAGCAAGCTTTCAGCTCGCAGGCCAAGCCAGTATTTCCCCCACTACCAATTAATTGGAAAAAGTTAGAGAATGAGTGGGCCTGGGTCTGATTCATTGGTTTAACGCTGCTATAATGCTATTCACATCAGTAGATTTACACCTGTAAGTGAAATCAGTGAATGTATTGCACTTACCATAAGCAAATAGCACAGCAAATACTAAGAGATTCTTCATCTTCACGCAGGGCCTGGAAGAAGAAACCCAAAACACCCTGATCTTCCATTCAGGCAAAGAATTCAATGACACATATTAACATCCAGGTATGGGCAACCTGGATAAGTCATTGTCTCGAAAGCAGCTGAGAAGAGAGCAGAAGCAAGGTTTTTCGAAGGTTTGAATGAATGGAGCATGAGACCCCGGTTACAAGGAGCAGAGATTATACTGGGAAGTGGAGATTTAGCTTCAAAGCATAAACCAGGATGGGTGAAATCCAACCGTGTGCAACAGGACCCCAGGGGTATGCCTACATTGCAGCTGGGAGTGATCCTTCCAGCCTGGGTAGACAGGCTTGTGCTAGCATGCTAACAATATCAGTGTGGATGTTGCATCTTGGGCTCAAGCCCACCCAGCCACCTGGCCCTGAGCTCAGGGAGTTAGCCCAAGTCGCCACCAGAGCCTCACCATCCACACTGCTAGTTTTAAGCGCAAACTTGAGTCCTGCTAGTGCGAGTCTATCTGTGCTGGTGGGAGGCTTGGCCCTAGTGGCAGTCTAGGCACATTGCAGGAAGCTAATACATCACTGAAGTCCTCTCTGGTCTTAAGTGGTGCATGGACATCTTGTAGGCTCTCTGCACAGGGCTGAATTTCATCCACTGATTTTAATATTGTGCAGCCTTTCTATATTCTCCCCCTTCCGGTCACGGTGCCTGGTTGTATTGGCTGGTAGGAAGCCAACACCAGAGCAAAGAGACTGATGCCCCTTTAGGATTGTGACATAATTCCCCTGCTTCTTGCACACGGACACTAGTGACTCCAGTGGGACTTCACTTGCAGCATGAGCGAGGACATTCATTTCTGCTCTCAGTGCGAGGGATCCTATTTACTGCAGGGGCCTTTTTACCATAAATGGTTTCTCTTCCTTTCTCCCGCATGCAGCTTTTGTTTCATCCTGGGGCACAAAACACTTCACAGATCTGAGGACTAGGAGAGCGAAGGCTCAGTCAGGGTCGCAGGCTGCAAATGTTCACAACAGACCCTGCCAGCGTAAAAGCATTGTCAGCTCCTCTCTAGACAAAAGATCCCCAGCCGCACTGTATTGGTTTGTGGATCGAACGGGAGAAATTGAAAAGGAACAGGGAGGGCAGGAAAGCAATGGGAGATGGAGACAGGAGAGGAAAGCAAGGGACAGAGGGCACTGAAAAGAAAGAGCAGGTGTGGGTCACTATCACCTGGATCTCGCGCACTAAATCAATTCCTTGCACTGCAGGAGCCTCGGGCATTGGTGCATCTCAGGCCCTCCTGCTATCTGCCTGTGGCACATAATAGTTTAATCTCCTAAGAGCGGTTTTACTTTTGTCTAGTTCTGGTTGCTGGGTGTGGTGTGGAGGAGGCTGGATGGTGTTTAGTGGCCTCTGCTGTACAGGTCAGACTAGAGGAGCTGGTAGTTCTCTTCTGGCCTGAAACTCTCTGAGAGATGTAGCTGGTATCCCACGATGACCTGGCACCTTGTACCCAGCTTTGCTTAAAGAACAGTGCGGCACCGTGCCAGATGGCTCGCTACAGTGCAAAAACCCTTACCTGCAAACGAGGGGATAGGACCTACTGCTCAGGAACAATGGTTCATCAGGGAGACTTCTTGCCTGAGATCTCTCTCTTCTGCTCTGCCTTTGAGCAGGCAAAGGGCAATGTTCATACCTCACTTTCGCACCAGGGCCGTAACCAGGGAAGGAGGGCAGCTGCCCAGGGTGCAAAGCCATGGGGCCAGAAAAATGGGGCAGCATGCATCTCCCTCCGCCCCAGATTTCTGCCTTCCATTTAGCACAGAGGTTTTTGAACTGTGGGGCACGTCTCCCTAAGAGAGGGTGCACCCGACGATCTGAAAACCATTGCCTTCTGCCAGGAGCTGGTGGATTGGAAGCTGGTAGGAGCTGCCCGGCTCACTCGGGCCCCTGGCTCTCCATGCTGTGGGAGCTGGGGTGCTGTCTGTCTGCCTAGCAGCCCTCCCTGCCCTGCTCCCCAAGCCGGGCTGCCTCTGCACAGCTGAGCGTTCCCCAAGCAGGGCGGGCGGCCCAGTTCCGAGCTGCGCCGTGACGCGCCCTTGCCTCTTCCCCGAAGGAGCCCGGCACCAGCCAGCGATGCCCCCTGGAGCCGGCTTCTGCCCACGGAGCCCAGTTGCCAGGAGGGGCTCCCCCAGGTGCTCACTCACCGCTGCCCTGGTGCTCCTGCTCCTCAGCCCAGAGGAGACGTGTGGCGTAGTCACGTGCCCCCCGACAACCTGGTAGTAATGCTCACTGTGGATCCCAAGGGCCCCAGATGGAGTCTCCGGGTACACACCCAGCAAGTGCATTCACTGGAATGGGAGCCATGCTAAACTGTTAATCCCGCACTTTTGTCCATTTCCACACGCTGGATACATCAGATCAGATGCATTCCTGGTGTAATCCCCATTGAGCTTCAGCCGGGCCGCATCAGGGATGGATCTGATTCAGCGCCAATAACGATTCACATGTTTCCCAATCTCCAGTGCAGCCTCTTGCACGTTTTAACTACTGGACACAATAACGATTAAAATATCAGTGATCGGTGTCTACTCACCTTTTCTGGGCTTGGGAAAGTCTCTGTAGCTCAGGGTGACTTCTGATCTCGGATAGTGACAGATTTACCTTATATAGACGGTCTGTCCCTCCCCTTTGGGAACTCAGTGACTGCATCCATGCTGACTTCGTTATCGAATATTCAAACTTCATCAAAACTTCTGTTGTTTGGCTTCTCTGTCAAACAACGTTTCTAGTCTTCCCCATTTCAAGGCACAAAGGGTATTTCCCATGCAACGCTGGGCCACTGCAGAGGCCGTGCTGCAAATTGATTGTAGATAATGAGTTATCAGACATTATGAATGATCACATACATAATTCTGAGTTCATCTAAAGCCTAAGCCAACACCAACTGATGTCAGAGTCCAGCCATTGGCTTGAAAGGCAGTTGTATCAGACCCCTGAAGATGCAAGAAGCTGAGCCTGAGAAGGGTAGATAATGAATAGCCATCTTGCTAGTAACATTAGACTCCTCCTGCTGCCCCAGTTCCCTTACCCATCTCTAAGTCACGTGGCACTTGTGCACTGCGATACAGTGTTTTCAGAAGGGACAGTGGTAGAATTCCTTCCTGATTCTTGTCTTTACCAGCTTATGCCCTGAAGCATGAAGTTTGATTTCTCTATTATCCGCTTTGCTTGCTAGAGTTAGTGACCATGCAATCATCTAGACTGCCACTACATTTCACAGCCAACATCTGTTGACTTTGACCGAAGGGTTGTTAAGCTGTTCCCCTCTGCATTGGCCATCTGATGGATAAACAGTAAGACACGGAAGAGTCTAAAGATCCTTTGATGCACGAACAGGCCAGGTATTTTAAGTGAGTACAAGTAATGAGGCATAAAAGTCAGAAATGGATAGAAGAAAAATAAAGATAAAGTGCTCACTAGTATCTACCTAAGAAGCTATCTTAGTTGCAAAGCAAAGTGTCTCACCACATACTCCAGCAAATTCCTGACCAAACTCTTCAGTCAGGAACCCTCCCCCAGAGTCTAACACCTGTTTCCTTTTGTCTTCTCAGGTGCAGAGGATGATGTGGGCAGGAGGAGAGAGACAGACAGAGGGGCCTTGGGTGTTTCTCCCTCCTTTCTAAAGTTTCAGTCCCCTTCTTGAAAAACATTTCTAGCTCAGACCCAGGAGACAACAAGTCTATGGGGAAGGATATTCCCTGATGGCTTTTTTTCACCTGTTTGAACTTCCTTTGTTTTCCCTCTCTGCTTGACGAGGACATTTACTGCTCAAATGCAAATTAAGGCAAGCACACATTCCTTCCTTTGTTTAGGACAGACCGGACTGTTGCCTGGGCAGGGCCGTGGGGTTTGGAACGTGTGTTCATAACATCACACTGCGGAATCTTATAACTTCACATACGAAGTTGCCAGTGCCAGGCATATTTTACCAGACAACAATGACCAGCAAATTAGGAGTTTTCAATTGATACCTCCCGAGGCATAGTTTGTTCACAGGTTATTCTGATTGTGTGTAGGGTGTGAAAACAGAGGTGGAGTCTGTCACAGTAGAATCATAGAATCATAGAATATCAGGGTTGGAAGGGACCTCAGGAGGTCATCTAGTCCAACCCCCTGCTCAAAGCAGGACCAATTCCCAACTAAATCATCCCAGCCAGGGCTTTGTCAAGCCGGGCCTTAAAAACCTCCAAGGAGTAGCCTCTCTGATGTTCTCCCTAGGGTCTGCAGCCTGAAATTCAAGCTTCAGAAGAATTCACTTTGTACAGTCTCATTAATGATCTGGAGGATGGCGTGGACTGCACTCTCAGCAAGTTTGCAGATGACACTAAACTGGGAGGAGTGGTAGATACGCTGGAGGGTAGGGATAGGATACAGAGGGACCTAGACAAATTAGAGGATTGGGCCAAAAGAAACCTGATGAGGTTCAACAAGGACAAGTGCAGAGTCCTGCACTTAGCACGGAAGAATCCCATGCACTGCTACAGACTAGGGACCGAATGGCTAGAAAGCAGTTCTACAGAAAAGGACCTAGGGGTTACAGTGGACGAGAAGCTGGATATGAGTCAACAGTGTGCCCTTGTTGCCAAGAAGGCTAACGGCATTTTGAGCTGTATAAGTAGAGGCATTGCCAGCAGATCGAGGGACGTGATCATTCCCCTCTATTTAACATTGGTGAGGCCTCACCGGGAGTACTGTGTCCAGTTTTGGGCCCTACACTACAAGAAGGATGTGGAAAAATTGGAAAGAGTCCAGCGGAGGGCAAGAAAAATGATTAGGGGGCTGGAGCACATGATTTATGAGGAGAGGCTGAGGGAACTGGGATTGTTTAGTCTGCAGAAGAGAAGAATGAGGGGGGATTTGATAGCTGCTTTCAACTACCTGAAAGGGGATTCCAAAGAGGATGGATCTAGACTGTTCTCAGTGGTGGCAGATGACAGAACAAGGAGTAATGGTCTCAAGTTGCAGTGGGGGAGGTTTAGGTTGGATATTAGGAAAAACTTTTTCACTAGGAGGGTGGTGAAGCACTGGAATGGGTTACCCCTAGGGAGGTGGTGGAATCTCCTTCCTTAGAGGTTTTTAAGGTCAGGCTTGACAAAGCCCTGGCTGGGATGATTTAGTTGGGAATTGGTCCTGCTTTGAGCAGGGGGTTGGACTAGATGACCTCCTGAGGTCTCTTCCAACCCTGATAGTCTATGATTCTATGATTCAGCAACTAGTAACAAGCCCCACTCCATCTACATCCACTGCAGAGACCTCAGCTTTCTCCCTCTCTCACCAAAACATCTAGTCCTCCATCTGCTGCTACAAACACCTCAATATCACATTCTCTTCCTGATGGAAATGACGAGGCACTCCAACCTATTCATCAGTGGAGAAACCCTTCTTCCTCTATATACTTATTATTCATTATCCCTAGCAACTTGAAGCCCCAGTTGAGATCAGTGCCCAGCACCAGGCCTGCCGACAGCAATCCCGGGCCCCAGAGCAGAACAGTCAACAGGCCCCCTAGAAAGCATGGAACTGGCCCAGAGGAGGTAGTTAGCCTCTTCTATACCAGGGTGAGGGCCTGTCCCTTCACACAGGCCCACTGCCAGCTGCTGGGTTAAACTCTCAATGGCTGGTGGCAGAACATCCTCCTTGGGAGCCTGGGCTTCTGGTACTCTGACAGGGTTTTGGTGGTCTATTGATAAAACAAGTTCCTTGCGTTGCTGGAGGCAGCTATATTTAATTCTGATCTCACGGTCACTGATATAAATCAGGAGTGACTCCACCTAAGTTACACGGATATTAATGAGATCAGAATTAGGCCCATTGGGGCAGATTCTCCACCCTTCCTGAGCTCCACTTGTATGAAGTGGAGAAAGAGGGTTTCAGGCATCTAGTGCAGCTCTCTGATCCTCAGCCACTTAGCCTTAGCACAAGTTAGAGCTGCACAGGAGCCGATCTAATTTATAGTGGAAAATGGCGTGTAACGGAGCTAAGCTCTTCCATGCCGCCTTTGCTCCCTATTCCACCCACCCCACTCCCGTAACATGCACCCCTCCTGCCCTTTCACCCGTGTGAGGGGGATACCTCTACAGGAGACAGCAGAGGGTTCTCCACTGGCCACATCTGGTTGCTTTAAAGCCACTTTATGCCACTTACACAGAGCAAAGTGGCCTTAGTGGACTGGAGAATCTGGCCCAGTGTGTTTAGTTTATAGTGACATTGCCTACTGGCCATGTTGGTGCAATCGGAAGGAAATGCCAGAAAAAGATTGATGTTTGAGTGAGTTGAACACCAGGAAGGGGGCTGTGATAGGGCACATGCAAGAAAAGTACCTACGTATCCAGTGAACGTTTTCAGCAGGGAGATGCAAACACGCAGGATGACCGACATAGTTCGCCTTCAGTGCCATGAGAGCCAGCCTAAAAATAAGGTGAATGCGTCATTTCAATACTATCGCACTTCTGGATGCACCTGTTAAAGGACAGCAACTCTGAACCACTCGAATGTTGGGAACTTTGGATCTGATTCAGCAAATCTCTACTCTTGTTTAACGTCATTAGCCCTCCTTTCCCTTCCATCCTGTACGAGTGCATGCGTACACATGCAGAGGACATGCACATGCTCTCTAGCTCTTCAGGATTATTTTAATAAAGCGAGCAAAAGCAAAAATATGTATATTAGATCTGAGATGTGGTCACCAACCAGAA